ATATTAACTAGAATTTAAACTTCCATTTTCTGTTATTATCTATCATGGAGGTAATCAAATTGTGGCAAACAAATTTCTAAACCTCTATTAATTATTTGTGATTTTAAAACTCTAATTAATTACTTAAGGTTTAAAAATTTATGTTGATTGCTTGCAGTTTAAAAACTCTAGTGAATTACTTGTAGTTCAACTTCCCTCCCTTTGTTAAATATATGCATATTAAAAAATTAAAATTACATGTAATTTTGAACGAATTTTTATTAACCTAAATTTAACATGTATAATTTAAACTATAGATAACTTTTTTTTTCTTTTACAATTTATAATTGTAATTGTGATTAATTTTTTACTCCACTAGAAATATTTTACTTCTAATTAACAAATATAAAAACAAATTAAAAAAAAAACATTAAGACACTTAAATCAAACTAATAATCATATATCAAAATTTCATAATATAAGACTAATAATATTCCAGTTAAAATAAAATATGCTATGTCATTAGTTCATATACTAAACCAATAGTTATATATTAATAACTCATAATGTAATGAACTATTCTTTCAAGATGAACATTAAGACACTTATAACAAACAAATAGTCATATATCTCACAATGTATGAACTCTAACATGTTCTAATTAAAACAAAATACATCATGTCATTATTTTATAATGAACTACTTCTTGTTCTTAAATGAACTACTTTTTAAGTTTAGAATTTATAGAAAAATGATCAATACATTAGTTGGATGGTACTTTCTTGATTAGAAACCTAAAATGTAGTAAATAAGATCAAATTAAAAATTTAAGCAATAATAAAATTTATATGTTATATTAATAAAATAATTCAAATTAAAAGTATTATCGGTAAAGTTTGAAACAATCAAGTCTAGAAGTATTTACCTTAAAAGTTGTAAATAAAAAAATTATTATTACATCATGTTTGTTATTTTTTTTATTTTGTTCATCCTCTTATGATTTCAATACACTAACTTGATTTTGTATATCCTTGTAAAAAAGAAGAGACAAAAGATTTTACTATATGAAGGAGAAGAATATTGAAAAACTTAAGATGGACAAAGATCCAAAGTTCAAACATGGCCACAATGTTCTTGAATTCATAAAACATAGGCAAATGGACTTTGAGTACATATCTCTTGTTATAGACATATTTGTAAATTTTTTCTACAAAAACATTCATTGAAAAAATATGTTAAATCATATTACTACATCAAAACATCAAATAAAAGCTATATTCAATATATTCTTATGAAATTTGAACTATATCAAACATATTAAATTATATTACTATATCTTAGAAAACATGTAATATTGAAAGTGTTTACATGCATGACATTTCTTCAATAAAACTTCTGTAGTTGCCACTTTTACTCCTGAAAGTAGCTACATGCACAACCTTTCTCCCCAAAAGCCTACAAAGTGATTACTTTCACCATAAAAAGTAGTTATATGCACTATGTTCTTGCATCAATATCTTTATATTATCTACTCTTAACCCCAAAAGTGACTACTTTCATTAGGAATTTCCTTTCCAAGTCTCTGAAGTACCTACTTGTTGCACTGAAAGTAGCTATGCGCAGGGTATTGTTGCTTATTAACCTCTAGAGTTCTTACTTTTTGTACAAAAAGTGACAACACTTAGCCCAATTGACCTCTTAATGCCTCTAACTCATGTGCTTTTGCTTAGAGTCTCTTGCAAAACTAGTTCAACTATAAAATTACATAAGAATTCTATTAAATCTAAACAGTTTGAATTACTAAAAGCAAAAATTAAATTTGTTGAATAATTATATATTTTTGTGCAATTTTCATCTTTCAAATTACTCTTTCTTATTAAAAAGATCTTAGAAAACTAACTAAAAATTCATCAAAATATGGATTTATCAAAATGCCTTTAGGGTCATTGCTAAAAAAGACAAAAAGACAAACAAACAAGAACAAGTACAGGTAGGGAAGCAAAGTTTGATCTTCTAAAAGGGAAAGTGCAAGAGCGAATGAAAAAGATGCAAATACAACTCTCATTCTTGTATATTTCATAAGCTTACAAACCCAACCTTATAAAATTTCTAGTCTTGAAATATTACGCTAGCAATTTCATTTTAATACATGTGAGTAACTATGACAGATAATATTTGCAAAATTCAATGAATGAATACATTAATTTATTAAAGGGGAGAATTGTATTAGTTGGGGGTAGTATATATATGAGACAAATATGCTTTATGCCGTGATTACTTGTGTGTATTATTTTATGCTAAACTTGTTCTTAAAGAGACGTTTGTTATAAAAAAATAAATTGAGATATTATATTTGTTTATGTATATTTTAGAATTTTGATGATGACAAATAGATGAATGTTTAGCAAATAATGAATATTAGAAACAATTGTAGATGTGAATTGATGATTGATGACCAAAGTCAAAATTTCAAGCGATAATACATAGTTAAAAGGCTTATGATTATATTTATAAAAGATAATAAGCTTGTACATTGATAAGCTAACATAAATGGTTCTATTAATTTAAAAAAATTATATTTTATAGAATTAGGTCATCACTTCCAAGATAATTTATATTTCTTGCATAAATTCTTACATCAAAATGGTTTTCAAAATCTAAGCAACATCCTTTTTAAACCAAATTAATTGGATTTTGTGCTTTTATACTACAAAATTGATTTCATAAAGTATTCTAATACACTTAATCAATTATTCTAATTCTATTTTTCGAGTATTTAGTGACAAAATTTGATTAAATTTATTAGGAGACTTAACCTAACTAAATTAGTGAGCTTCTAGAACTTTAGGTTGACAACATTGCCTACTTATTAGGAATTTTTCTAATTGATTAGTTTGATTATGAATTCATTGCAAATGTTAGACATTATGTCTAATTAATAAGACTTCTATTTTATGATCAAATAATTTTAGAAAGATTTTAATTGATTAGGAAACTCATCTACACAATTAGATCATACATTTATGTCAAATTATTTACACTTTTAACAAATAATAATAATAATAATAATTCTTTTTCATACCTATTCAAATATAAATGTTTTTCAATTATTTAAATGAACCTTAAAGAGTTTGTTTAAACGCAAAAAATAAAAAACAACAGAAAAACATTTACATAAAGTTCATTGTTCACATCTTTTGCCTATAGAATTGCAACTTGTATTATTCATTTTATGAAGAGTGCTTCTTTTAAATTATTTTTTTTCTTGTTAATTTAGCAAGAGAAGAAATAATCGTTGTAAGAGTAAAAAATTCTTAAGAAAATAATTTTAAATTTAAGTATTATATATCAAAGTTGTCATTGAATATTATATCATTTGTTATATTAAACAGTTTCATGCTATGCTTAAAAGTTGAGCATAAGTTACGAATGATTGATAATCAAAAGAGGATAAATCAAGTTTGCACTCATCTATTCCTATACTATTTAATTTCTACATTTTGTTTATTTATTTATCTGATTAATTCTTATAAACCCTTATTCTTTCTTATGATTATCCATTTATTCAATATTGGAAAAAAAAAAACAAAAACCTCTTTTAAAAACACGTCAATGGTTTGTGAAAATAATTACAAATATTGACAAAGATCTTTAAATCTCGTCCTTCGAAAAATTGAGCATTGATCCCCAAGCACCTGAATTTTTTTTTTCTATACATGCATGATTAATTATATAGCACTAAGCTCAAAGTTTATCTTAATCGATTATTAAATACATGCCAAATGCCACGAAAAAAATATTTTTCTAAAAAAATTATAACATTTAATATTATCAATACATTAAATCCTACAATTTTTAATAAAAATATCATATATAATTTTTATTGTGTCCTTAAGCTCATGTTAGAACAACCATTTCTCAAAAATACAAAATCCATCGATGAAATTAAATCATTCTTCAAATGATGAATTACCATGCTCACTTTGCATGTGGCTCTCGTATTTATCTGCTATCAAAGGCAGAGAAGGGTGTAACTCTGAGCGTGGAAATAAGAGTTTCAGACGGAAAGCATCAACTCCATTCAAATAGTAGTGAAAGAGCCGCTTAGCCCTAATAAAGCCAAGGCGACCATACAGTGCCAGTGCTCCTTTATTTGTTACTTCCGCTTCCAATGTAACCTGTACAAATAAAAATAACAATGTAATCAACATGCTCCCTCCTTTGATTCCCAGCACTTCCTATTATAGTCTAGCTATTAAGTTTGACCTTTAGAGCCCAAATTCTAAACAGTTTTAGCTTAAGCTACGTGTACATAAATATTCAATATAACTCCATGAGCGAGTCTAATGCCACTCCAAAATACCTATTATCGCACCTTTTTAAATAATTTTATATAGAATACTCTTTCCATTTGTTAGTTAAATTAATAATAATAACAATATATAAATGAAAAATTCTTAAATAAGGAGTGGCAATAGACATTTTGGAGTAGCAATATACACTCCCTAACTCCAGGCGTACTAGTCTTTTTCCTTGCAACACATGAATCAAAATTATCTCATGGCAGTATTATTAGTTACATCAAAATGATATAATCTCCTCATTAGCTGTTGGCACTCAATATAGAAAAATATAAATTTTTTCAACAAGGGTTATAAGTTATAACAAATGACCAGTGGAAAATACACCATTCCAAGGGTGGTTTTATCAAACAAAATAGAAGAGAACAGAAAGCAACATAATCGATCTTTTAATAGGCACTGATTTAATCCAGGATTTTTTAATGAAGATTAAAGAACCAGGAAATGCAGCGAACAACTCTATAACATGGACCTAATTCTCGTGGGAATATTTGACTCAGCTTTAGAAGCAGATGGTAAACAAACACCTTACCATTTTGAAGTGCATTTAGGTAGGCTTTAGTAAACTAGATACCTAGAATATTTGATACTCAAATCTTTCTTTTAGCAAATAGTTTTAGTCTCATATTGGAACCAGCTACTAGTACTAAGATAAATTGTCACATCGAGAAAAAGTAACTTCAAGAAGAAAAAGAATTTTGATATTCTTTTGTACATTCAAGTTCTTGGCCTGTCCTGCCCTATACCACAGTGCCCACGCCTTGTTTTCTCATCTAAGACAATATCCAAATCAGCAAAGTTCAACAATAATCACAGTTTAAACTCTCAGTTTCTATTTCAACTTTTGTTCAATGTTACTCCATTTTCTCTGTACAATGCAATTGATTGTAAGGTAAGATGATGGACCATTAACCCATGAACATAGGAGAGGAAAGAAACAGAAAAATTGGCACAATATTAGTAAATGCATGTTGGTGTATGAGAGAAGAGGAGGCAAAAAAAAAGGAACAGTATGGGAATTTGATGAAAAAGGGGAGCGAAGGAGAGGAAAAATTGGTTGGAAGACATAGGAATGCTTAACGGAATGCACAACTAGCAAAAGGAGATTGGAGTGAGAGAATAGGAGAAGCACAAGTGTAATGATGAGGGAAATCATAAAATCATACAGCAGACAGACTGGAACGTGAGGGGCTATCTGAGCATTTTGGGTAGCGAAGGTGGCCTTGGCCTGGGAAGGTGTGGGCACTGTCCTATAGTGTTCATTCCCATTTTGTTCTTGAGTTTCTCCGGCTTTTCTTTCTAGTTTTGTTTCTGTGTTTTTGGGTCTGTATTTCTCTGGCTTATCAGAGATTTCTATATGCTGTGAAGAGCTGTGCTCCATTCCTTTAAGCTGAATATTATGCAGAATTTAGTTTCTATCATAAGATTAAAGGTAAAACAAATGAAAAGGAAAAGAAGATAAAAGAGTGCCTGACAATGAAAAGCAAGAACTAATAATTGAGAGTTTACATTTTCATTCCATCAACGCAGTAATAATTGGACCAGTATACCTAAAGTGTTTTTTTCTAAGATGAGATCATCATATTCATATGAAAACATGACTTGAAACTAAATATATAACAATTATCCAATCCTCTTAAGTTCTGTCATTAAGAAGAAAGCAAAGAAAAAAAATTATATTCCACGTTTTTAGTTGTTCATACATACCAAGTACCAATCAACAAGGAAACTAGAAAACTTCTCTATTTCTCAGCCTTCGTTCCTTCCCACATGTCTAAACTACAGAACATTGGCATACAACAGCACATAGTTACACACACAAACACAAACACAAACACACGCACACACACACACAAACATACCTCTTCACAACCTGATTCCATCATCACCTTGATAGACCTAGTAACAAGTTCTGTAGCTGTAGAAAAATTAAGCAAAAGCCAAACATTAGCAACATAGCACCAACAATTTCTATAATTTCTAATAATCACATTGCAAAAACAGATAATTAACACATAAAAATATCAACCATTAAGAACATGTTTCGAGAACCAGTTTTTTTTTTTTTTTTTCCTTTTCAAAAGCTATACAATAAGAAGTGGGCGAAACAAGTGAAAATTTCTTTAAAATAAATAAGTTGAGCCAACAACCATCTAACTTGCTCAAATTTTCCACTGATTTCCTAACTAATGTTTCTGTTTTTCCAAATAAAAATTAAGAGAAAAAAGAAAGCATAAAAAATGAATTACCAATGCCTCGTCCTCTGTAGGGCTTGATTACAACCAACATGGCAATGTAGCCTCTGAAAGTGTTACGGTGTTCCCCCATCTTACACACCACCGTGCCCACACATTTACCCTTGTGGAACGCCTAAAACGAACCGCAAACAGAGAATAAAAAAGAAGAGGAAAAGGAGTGGGATCATAAAAAAGTGAGAAGTGGAAGGAACAGGAACCAGGAAAGAAAGCTGAGGCCAGAGGTAGACGAAGTAACGGTAGGTGAAGATGGAGTAAGGTTCGCTGAGTTCTTGGTCGACGAGGTTCATTATGAGAGGGAGGTGATGTTCGCCACAGTAACTCACGTACTCAATCTCCGAACCATCGAATTCTACTTTCTCTATTTCTGCCTCCTCTTTGTTGCTGCTTTCCATTCTCTCTCTCTCTCTCTCTCCCCTGCTGCGTTCCTTCCCTTTCACAAAACAAAGGGACGTGTCTTCCTTCTACAAAATCAATGGGCCTTCGGTTCTTCATTTTGGGCCTTACTTTAGTATTTTAATGGCCTGCTTTATTAAAACAATGTTATTTTGTTAAAAAAAATGCTTCATTTTATTAAAGTACTATATTTTTTTAAAAAATAATTTATTTTCGATAGCTATAATTAAGAATGTAAATGAGTTGAATCAAGCTAAGTACTTAATATTTAATCTTGACTTAAGATAATAAAATAAATATTTAACATAATTTATTTAATTAAATAAGTCAAATATAAAGTTTGACTTTGATTTATTATAAATTTAAAAATTTGAGAATAAATCATTAGTTTGTTTATAAATTTTTCACAAACTTTATTAAAATTTTTCTGTCATGCATCAATCTCTCCTTAATTCATTTTGTTTTTCTTAAACTCTATTCCAAAAGTCACATGTTATTCACATCATTAGATCTTTTACACTTTCTTAATATTATATCTATATACAGATTATTGATGCTTTAAAATATTATTATTTTGTAATCTAACACAATACTACTTATTATGTAAATGATTTTGTTAACTTTTTTTTCATAATTTTATAATATCACTAATAAAATAACTAATTTTATATCTTGTTACACTTTTTTTTATCCTTTCATTTTACTACCACTCAAATAGACTTAACAATTTAATTTAGTTTTTCCTATAATTATTACTTTAGTATTATTACATAATTTTTCAATTATGGTTTAGTTTACTTGGTTGTCATGGATAAGCTTGTCTAAATATCTCTCCACTCTATTGTTCTTTTTCTTGTCTTATGTTTGTTAACGATAATTTTATTTTATTTTATTTAATTATTCTTATTTCTTCTTGACAAAGAAGTGATGTGATAAGTCCTCTAATGCGAAATTATGGCCGTAAGAATTAATTAGCAATTAACCTAAGGTGTGGAGAGTGTATACTAGGAGAAATAGGAAAGGGATTAAGAGGGAGGCTAAAGTGGCTGGGAAAAAGAATATGCTAGAAGTTAATTAGTGGAGATTTATTTTCAATTATAAAGAAAGGAGTTAGGTATGTGTACAAAGGAGAAAAGAATATTTTCTTTTTGGTTGTTATGAGTAGAGAGTAGTAGCCCTCTATAGGAGCAGTGCCTTGTGGTAGTAGGTATAACGCTCCGAATTTTGTAATGTTATTTGATTATTAATATATACTTATATAGGTGAATTGATGTTTGGATGTGCATTTGATTGTGTGATGAGTTGGATGTGAATATGATGATATGGATATAGACGTTTGACTGTGTGATGATGTGAATACATGTATGAGAATATATGTGAATTGGATAAGGACAATTGACTTGTGATTGATTTTGTTGATTGGAAAACAGGTTGAATGTGTGCTGCAGAGGCATTCTCGCTGTAGCGAGAAGGTCCTAAGCATAAAGCATGAGTTTGTAGCGCTCTTGCTGTAGCAAGAGAGTCCTGAGAGAATGGGATGATTTTGTTGCATTATCGCTGTAGCGAGAAGGCAACAGAGAGGGATGCAATTTTGGATGCAGTCTCGCTGTAGCGAGAATTTGTAGAAACCAAAGTGTAGTTTCCTCTGATATTTTTGTTGTAGCGAGAGGGGGTGTTGTTGCTGACTCGTTGAAGCTAGAGTGTAGTGACCAGAAGGGTATTTAAGAGGTTTAGAGTTTGGGAAGCTCATTTCTCATCCCTCTCTTCAAACTCTCTTTGATTTTCTCAACTCCCAACCCTAGTTCACTGTTTAAACTGCCTCCAAAGCTGTTTGAGTGTAAGATTGAAGATTGATGTTGTGTTTGGAGTGTTTTTTATGAGTTAGAGTTTTTGAGTTTTCATCTCTTTCTTTGATTTCTCATTTTCTCATAGGATTTTCCCTATATTTAGGACCAAAGTTCGTGTAAGGAGCACTTTGATCATAGATTTCATGTTGGGTCTTCAACTTGAGGTAAGGGTAGACTCTACCCTATCTCTTTGTGCCTTGAATCCGTTTATATTAATGGATAATGCAATGTGTGTGTTTTTATGAAAATGAAGTGATGGGTATGGATTGTGAAGGAAAATATTATGTGTTTGTGTACAATGTATGATAAAATGACTTGATTGTGGTAAAGTTAGAATAGAAATAGTGTAATTGATGTTTGAGTATAATGTGGTAAATGTGGTAGGTATTGTGTGATGAAATGAATGGTTGTAGGGAGATTGTGATGAAAATTGTGTGGTTGAATATTATGTAGATGTTTGTGCCTTCGATTGAGAATGAATAATATGAGATAAATGAAATGTGTGTGTGGAAGGCATGATGAATTGTGAATGTGAATGTGTTTGAATATGTTAGAAGGTATGAATGGTTAAGTGATACACTAGGGGTGTGAAAGATGAGACGATATAAATACTTTGGGGAAGAGAGGGTGATAGTGACATTAACAGTGAGCGTGTGTGCACCACAGGTCACACACTATCCTCCTGATTCAGGCTCTGATTAACACCTTTGCTTGGGGGCTCAATACTTCACGCGTTGTATCTGTGGAGTGGGAGTTATCCAACAACTATCCATGATATAAACTGAGTAATTCCCTGAGGTTGAGGGCATCAAGAATTTGTGATCACAGTGTCGCAGTGAGCGTAGCTACGTGCAGTGAGTGCACGTGTGGGTGTGAAATGATTGAGGGTACAGTGAGCGCACCTATGCTTGAATTGTTTGATTGTGCAGTGAGCGTACCTGTGTATGAATGAAAATGTAATATTTAAATCATTGCTTTGAGTTTGCTGATAAATTATATGAAATATGTTGAGAATGTGTGGAAGCATGTCAGGTGAGACTCTATGCTTGTGTGTGTTTGATAGTGTGGAGTACTCACTCTTACATTTATTTTTCAGGTGACCAAGATAATCAACACCAAACTCAGTGAAGGGATGAATGACACTGTTATAGGGCTTAGAATATTTTTTTTTGGAACTGAAATGTATTACTTAAGTACTGTAGCAATGATTGATTCAAATTTCTAATTCATCCTTATTTGAAATACTTTAAGGAAATTGTGCATTGAAAAACTATTTGAATGAAATTTTGTTACTTCTATTTTGTGAAATTTATTTCTTTTAGAAAATTAAATTAAGGTGTTACAGTAGGATATTTGTTCTTTGTAATCTATAATTTCAATTCAATATATTACCTAATTTGTCAATCAGTGTATGTGGTATTACTTATTATGTGAAGTTGATACTAGTTTACATCAAACTAGTCTGACATGCTGAATGATTAGTAATTTGAATATTTTATCTATTATTTTTAAAAAAGATATTAAAAGAAGAGTATAAAGCCTACAAGTACGGGGACCGATTCCATGATCATGATTACTAAACTTGATTCGTGTGGTAAAACTAGAAGTTTGTGGAAAGAGAATATCAAGAAGTCCTACTAGGAGATTGGAACTGCGTGGTGGGTTTGGGTCTCAAAACAATTTTTGGTCTAATTCAAATCTCTTCAAAAAAAAGCGATAATCGTTAGGTTTAAGATTGATCTAATAGAAAAGATCATTCAAGTAGGTCTAAGAACTCTAACAATAAAAAAGGATTAATTTTTGCACTTGGGCCAATACAAGACAATGAGTTAATTAGGAAAAAAAAAAAAAGAAGACAAGGAGGACAATAAAATAGAAGGCTTAGGCATCTTTCATACTAAGAATTGATAGATAGGAAGCAAAAAAGATTGTTATAAGTGTGGTGGCCTCTATCATCCCTTACATCAATGTCTGGACAACTATGAGAATCATTGGTGATGAAGATGAGGAAGGAGATATAGATGATGAGTTTTTGGCAAAAGAGAAAGGGGAATGTAGCAAAATCAATTTGGAAACTTTATATATTAAAAAGAGGTATCAACTCAAAACTGTAAAATTGAGAGGAGAAATAAGAGGAGTTACCTATGTTAATAGTGATAGATAGTGAATTTACTAATAATTTCATTTATATATCATCGGTGGTGGTTTGTGAGATGACTTACGGAAAGAACCAAGTGTATGAAAATTTTGTTAAGGAATAATTTTCAGGCTAAGGCCAATGGAGTGTGTAGAGGGATAAAGATGGACATGAATTATGAAGAATTTATAGTGGATGTTTATTTGTTTAATTTGGATGGGATTGACAAGGTGCCTGACAAACCTTGGTTGACTTCATTAGGAGAAATGGTAGTAGATTGAAAGATACAAGTAGTTGAGTTAATGGAGAATGGAGTAATTAGACACAACAATAGTTCTTTCTCTAGCATAGTAAACTTGGAAAAGAAGAAAGATGAGACTTGCTGAATGTGTGTGGATTATCGGGCACTAAACAAGGTAACTATATCTAATAAATTTCCTCTTCCAATCATTGATAAGTTACTGCATGAGATTCATAGAGGCAAAATATTTTGCTAAGTTGTATTTGAAATCAAGATACCATCAAGTGAGAATGAAGGAAGAGGATATTTCAAAACAACATTTAGAACACATGAGGCTCACTACAAGTATTTAGTGATGCCTTTTAACCTTATGTGTTTAGACCTACGTTTAGAAGATTCATATTAGTTTTCTTTGATAATGTGTTAAGTTACAATTTATATTGGGAGAAAAAAACTTGACAGATAATAGGAAAAATGTCATTTTGCCACATTATCCATAAAATACTTAACACATGTAATATCTTAAGAGGGTGTTTTCATCAATCAAAAGAAAATTAATAGTGTTAGACTAACCAACCCCAAAAAAATGTAAAAAAGATTAGAAGATTCTTTGAATTAATCAATTGTTACTAAAAATTTATCACGAATTTTAGAAAATTATCAAAGTCATTGGCTGACTTGACACAAAAGATAGATTCAAGTGGAATGCTAAGACTTAGGTAATCTTTGTAATTTTAAAATAGAAGATGAAAATTGTCTCAGTGTTGGCCTTAATTTTAGTTAATAATTCATCCTATAAAGTAATTCTTTTGG